ATCACCACGGCCTAGTATCCCGGTGCCACAGCCTCAGTCTCTGGGTAGAAGACTCAGGTCTCTAACACCAAGGTCGCCACCTACGAAGCACAGGACACCCAAGTCATGACGCCAATCCCTGTACCTGCAGTACCGCCGGGCCTCCGACCAGAGATCACCACAGTACAGATCCCCATCGCCTAGGCAGTCCCCCCCCCATAACAGCATCAATCCCCCTCAGTGCGGGATTGTTCCTGGTCGTGCAGGCACCGTTCCTCGCCCTTTCCTTACTGTTTGCTGACAAGGGTCAGATGACAGACTTCAGCATCTACAGTGGTCCGAGCTGGAGAGAGAGTTCAGCCCCTCACCTAGGAGAGCCAAATCACCGACGACCTGCGAGACGGCCCTGTCAGCATGGCAGCAGGGGCAGTGGCCCACCCAGTGGCAGTACAGGAGCCTATAGCGTGTACCCATCATGCCTGTCCTGTACTCCCACCGTTCCTCTCAGGTCGCATCGGACAAACTCCCTCCAGCCCAGCCAGCACCAGCATCGGAGCACGCTGCTGAGTCCGACACAGGAGCGTTGCAGTGGGCCCCGACACCCAAAGAGCCATCCCCAGACAGGCAAGGGGAAGCTGCCCTTTCCCCTGCGGTACAGTCATCTTCGTCATCCCCAGACGAGGCGGTGGCAGGCCCCTCGCAAGCGAGCAGTGCCCCCCCAATGATTTCAAGGAGCACCAGGCCCTGCTCTAAAGGGTGGCTGCTAACCTGAACTTTGAGGTCGAGGAGCTAGAGGAGTAGTCTGATGACCTCTTCAATGTCATACTCTCCTCCACCCCAGCCTGGGTCGCATTGCCCGTCCACCCAGGGGTCCTGAAAATTGCCGAGTCTGTGGGTCAGACCCGCTCCTCCATTCCGCCTGCCTCCAAAAAAGCGGAAAAGAAATATTATGTCCCAGCAAAGGGATTTGAATATCTGTACACCCACCTTCCTGCAGGGTCTCTGGTAGTGTCTGTCATCAACGAAAGGGACAGGCAAGGCCAGGCCAGTGGCAAACCCAAAAATAAAGACACCAAGAGACTGGACTTATATGGCAGAAAAATTTATTCAACAGCCAGCAGCAGTTTTGGGTGTCTAACCATCAGGCCCTGCTAGGCAGGTACAACTTCAACCTGTGGGACTCCATCAGCAAGTTTAAGCAGGGCCTTCCACAGGACCAAGCCCAGGAGTTTGCCATTAGTGGATGAGGGCAAAGCGGTGGCGAGAAGCACCCTCCAGATGTCCTGAGACGTTACAGACTCGGCGGCCAGGGTGATCTCCTCTGCGGTGGTCATGAGGTGTAGCTCCTGGTTACAGTCCTCCGGGCTGACCCAAGAGATGCAGACTGCCCTGCAGGATCTCCCGTTTGAGGGAGCAGGGCTCTTCAGACCAATACACAGCTTCACAGTCTTAATGACTCCCGTACCACCCTCTGGTCCTTGGGCCTGCACACTCCTCAACAGGCTAGAAAGCCATTCCGGCCTCTGCCTTCTCTGCCTCCATCAAGATCATGGGGTGTCCCCCAGTCCAACTCCTACAGAGAGAAGGAAAATAATAAGGAGTTTAAGCGATGCCACCCTTCATCTTCCCGCTCTTCGGCCCAGCCTGGCCCCTCCAGAGACCAAGGCAGCCAGAAATGGGCATTTTGAGGATGTGCCCAAGGACGGTGCCCCAGCCACTGCCCAGGATCCACTCCCCTGCTTTTTCGTCGACCATCTATGTCCCAACTGATCATGGTTGACCTCGGACCATTTGGTGCTCGACCCAATTTCTTTGGGCTACACACTGTAATTCAAATTTTTAAGTCACCCTGCTCCCCTTACTAGGATAGATATTGTAGCAGTGTCAGAACATTACGTGATGCCACACACTGTGTTATATGTGCTACAAAACCTAGGCAAAACAGTGTGTGTTTAAATGGTATGAGCTTATATTTTGATCTCAACTTTAAATTTTATTGCTTTTTTTTTTCTTTTAAAGTTAAACTGGTTTTTGGTTAGTTTAATGCTGTTTTTTTCATGGTTTAATTATGTGCAACATGAAAAATAAGGGCAGTATTTCAAAAGTCTAGCCATGCAAATGACTTCCTTACTCTGATAAAATCTGAATGTAATAGACTAGAGCTGTTTAAAATCAAGGATATCTCAAAAGATATTTTCCGTATGTATTGTTGACAAATTGTAATTCTAACTCGGAGTTTTCTATCAAATTTAATTAATTTGAGAGTTGGGGGAGAGTGATTGTTTGACAAGGAGAGGAAAACTTGGTGAATATTTGTGCCCAGGAAAGTGTGCTGCACATCACAATGATTGGAGGTAGGGATAGTTCAGTACAATACTTTTCAACGCAGTATTTAGGCCCCAATTCAGTAAAGCAATTAAGCACATACTAAAGTGCTTTCCTGAATATCTATCAATCTAGCTACAAGAGAAGAATGATAGTCCATTGGCTAGAGCATTAACCTAAGACTTGGGAGACGTGGGTTGAATTCCCTGCTCCACTAGAGAGTCTGTGTATGACCTTGGCAAAGAACTTAGGATCTCTGTGCCTCAGTTTTCCATCTGTAGAGCTGGGTTAATAGCACTTCCTTACTTTCCAGGGGTGTTGTGAGAATAAATACATTAAAGATTTTGAGGTAGTTATAGACTACTGTGATGGAGAAGAGGAGATTGTGGCAGTCATAAAGGGAACAGAGACGGCAAAGAAGACCAAATTAGCAAGCTGCATACTTTCTGATATATGTAGAGACAGAGGTGCAAGGCCTGAGCCTCTTCACAATCAAGTCAGTAAAAAGTGTTCCCTTTGACAGCACAGCTGTCATTTATGCAGCAGATAGCCCTAGGTTTCATTAGCAGCAATGCAGGACAATCTTTGTCTTATGGAGAAAAGCTTTCCTTAATTTCTCATGTGTATTGTATTTAGTATAAAAACACATTCCCCAAATTTTGGTATACATCTCTTTTTTGTTCCAACTGCTTTCTCATTGCAAAAGCAATTTATTATCAGTGCAAAGAAAAGTCAGTCCATTTCCACATTTATATTTTAACCCTCCATCTCTTGGAAATTATCTTAGGACAGAGATATGGTGAAACATAGGATTTGGTTTAAAAATATGTTGCTGCTGCTGATTTTTTTTCTGATGCTGTGGAACAATTTCAGTGGCCTTCTGAAGAAGTAATTCTTTCTTTTGGGCACTTAAATTGATATCCCTAACTTTGACATGTGCAGAGCAATCTCCATGACCCTGTTTTCCAGGAGCGTGCAGTGGAGAATAGGAGGACCATTGATAGGAGTAAACTATTTTGACCTATCTCTCCCATCCTACTGTGAAGCCAACCAACTACACTGCATTTGTTCAGGCTGCCCATTTGTTGGCATCCTGTAAAATTCACATTTTACATATTAAGATTTACATAATTCCCATAAATAATCAAAAAGTTAATTTCCACAGTCCTTGTTTGAAATTTGCATTGTATACACAATGTCCCAAATTCCACCCATATTTCATGTGCGGTCATGTATTGTCTGTAGTGTTACTGTTAAGTATCAATCACCCAACTCACCCATTTGCCTATGAAAGATCGATTATGGATGGGGGACAAAGGCAGGTGTGTGTAATTTCAAATAGCTATAATAGACCGCATAGCTTGTTCAGGTAAAAACCACCAAAGAATTTGGCTGAGATTTTGAAAGGGGCCTAAGGGTACGTCTACACTACCCGCTGGATCGGCGGGTAGTGATCGATCTATCGGGGATCGATTTAGTGTAGTGTAGACACGATAAATCGATCCCTGATCGCTCTCCTGTCGACTGCTGAACTCCAGCTTGGTGAGAGGCAGAAGCAAAGTCGATGGGGGAGCGGCAGCCGTCGATCCCATGCTGCGAGAATGCGAAGTAAGTGATTCTAAGTTGATCTAAGATACATCAACTTCAGCTACGCTATTCTTGTAACTGAAGTTGCGTATCATAGATCGATTCCCACCCCCCCCCACCCCCAGTGTAGACCAGGCTTAAGAGAGTTAATTTCCCAATTCACTTAGGATTTGTAAACATGGCGAAATTGATCAGCCGAACAACACATGGTATAATTATAACGCTATTGTTCTGCTGGTAAATTTCCCAGTGTAAGCCTTTAAGCTTCTTTGAAAATTCCAGACTTTTTTGTTCTTAGATTTAAAATGCATGATCTACCACATGTCTAGTAAAACATACAAGGCCTGATTCTCATTTGCACTTAGCCTCTTTATGCTGTTCTGGCTGTGTAAAAGAGCCTTCACGTAAATGAAAATCAGGCCCCCAGTAGTTATCAACTGGCAACTAATGTACGCTGTAAATATGCACATCTACCTAACTGTACGAGTGTTCTGAATGTAATTGTGGTGCAGCTATAATTTTTTATTTTCCTAGTGCAGCTTAGCCTCTAATAAAAGCAGAAGTCTATGTTGTATAATTATTTCTTAGTACATTAATTAGAAGCTGGCTTTTCATGGCTATCATTTGTGCACTGCCTATAGTTCTTTTCTTTTTTTTTCCTTTGGGGAGAATAAATCACCAATTTCAGTGTGGGTTAGCTTTGAGGTAGAAAAACACACTGGTTGGGGGTGGCAGAAAGCTTGCACTGTGAAAGCAATATGCTGCTGGAAGAGAACAAAAACATATTGTATTGGTTCTCAACCATAACTATTTTTTATGTGCTATATACTCTTCTCTCCTTCCTGTCCACTAGTTTTGGGGAATTGCTAGAATCTATTAGATTTAGATTGATATTAATCCAGATAATTATAGCAGTCTTTCAAATAGAGACATAAATAGATGCATGTGTGGCCATTTCAGAAAGTGCAGTAGCAGACTGTTCTCATAAAATTCTAAACTTTTCAATCGCATGTCTGTTCTAGCTGGACTGCCACTCGTGACACTGGCATGAGGTCTCTGATGTAAATTTAGAAGTAAAATCTCATGTCTACTTATTCTTCTATGTGTAGTGTCTCTTCTTGCAGTCAAAACAGAGCCCATGAACAGCAGTGAAACAACCACCACCACCACAACTGGAGATGGATCGCTTGACACTTTTACTGGGTCAGGTAAAGCCATAATAAGATCACATGTTATGAGATGCACACTAATGTAGCATTGGTAACTTTCACTAATGAACATGTCAGTGCATGGAGGACACCTCTTAAACTTTGTGAAAGTTATAAATTAGGCTTTAATACCAAAAAGTAATAATACTTTTTTTGAAAACACCTTAACTTGCAGTTCTCATCAGCTGTGTTCTTAAGAAACATATTTACTACAACTATTCTTGTGTGCAAGAATATTTAACAATGGTCACATACTGTAGCATTTTTTAGTTTGTAGGCTCATATAATATCAGCAGGAGTGAGATAAAATTAGATTGTATTAGTATTAGCAATTATAATTTATAAAATGTAAATCTGAAGGCTGTATTGCTTTAAGTATCGGGGGGGGGGGGGGTTGGTATTGCTTTAGTAATCCTAAACTTCACTCTAATAGTGCTCATTAGCTGATGAGGCTGCCTTAAACTATCTTATCCATGGGTCTAAATATAAAGTATCTGTTTGATTCAATATAAATAATCTTATCTTCCCAGTTGGCCTTTGAAAAAAAAAAACACAAACATCATTGTAAGTAGCTGCCTGAAAAGTATTAAAGGTTACTGAAGTACAAGAAAGTACATATTGCTTGCATTATAACACAACATTGGATCTTGGTCATATTAATGCAGATAAGAGAATAATAATGTACCTATAAACATCTTTGGGCCTAATCCAAAGCACACAGAAGCCAGTAGAAGTCAACGAAAACTCCCCATTGACTTCAGTAGGCTTTGGATCAGGCCCATTATGTCTGAATTATTATGGTGCTTACAGCAAGCTCAGAATAAGTTAACTTTGTTACTGAATGTAATATGTCCCCAGGGCTGTTTCCAAAAGATATGTGGATACAATATGAAGGTTCAGGTCAGCTGAAACTTTTTGTTAAATAATTCCAAAATGTTTAGTTTTTCTTTTTTTTAGCCTTGTCTTTGTCAAATTAGCTTAAATTTTGAAACAAAAAGTCATTTCACTCAGGAAAATTGAATTTTTTTTGTCTAAAAGAGGTTAAAACATACCATTTAGACAACTTAAAAACTTTTTTCAACTTTTTTTTTAGAGATTTGTCAAAATGGACTCTGTTTCATGGACAGTTTTGGTTTTGCTGAATCAGAATTTTTTTAGACAAAAAAAGCAATTAGTTGAAAAATTTACCACCAGCAGAAATAATTGTGATTTTGTATTGGAAGTGTACCTTTGTTGACCCATACTGTATATTTAAGAAATCTGGGCTTTACTATGTGTATTGAAAAGTCTCGGGCAAGAATTTCAGAAGGGATGGTTAGAGTTATATTATTAAATCCATATTTAGGCACCTAAATAAGGGCCTGATTATCCAGTGTTGAGCACCCAGCAGCTACCATGAACTTCAAGAGGGTGAAGGGTGTTCTGCATTTTTGAAAATCAGACCACTTACTTAGGTGGCTGCAATGAATCTGGGAATCTACATGTAGGCACTCATTTTTTTAAATCTTAGTGCCTATGTATTAAAGTAAAACGTGAGTGTACTTCCCCATCTTGGGTCACAGAGTCAGATACAAAATGACTGAAGGGAAAGCACTATCAGGAGGGAAGAAATGCAGCCCCTCTGACCATGGTACAGACTTCGTCAGTCACCAGCTAGAGGTGTGGGGCCAATAATAAGGGAGTAGTACGTGCACATAGCTGCTTATCGGGGGGGGGGGGAAGCGGGGGAGTGAAAGCAGAGCTTTTAATGTGTTGTTTTGTTATGTTTTAGTTTGAATTGTAGCTATTTTATCTGAGGTGCTCTCTTGCCACTATTTCAGGATGTGTGCATGTGTTTTGTTTTGTTTTTTTTATGGCAGCTGCAGGTAACTTTCCAAATATACCAGCTGAAACAATCAGAGAGATATGGAAAAAAGTATGTTTTTTTTGTTTAGCATCTATGCCACAAAGCTGGTCAAACCATGCTGCCAAATTTGCAGTCATGGGGGATCCTGGCTTAAGGGGAAGGTGAATACAGTGGATCTAATTGTTGTTAAAGCAGCAAGATGTTCCTATGACAAGTACCAGCCATTCTGAACGCCCCACCACCTGAGAAGGTCATAATGTCAGTGTTACCCTATAGTTTTTAAAACAATTAAATCCATCATGAGGCATCCCCTCTTCTGGAGCAAAGGTTCCCTGTGGATGCAGACTTGGCAGCCAGAGAGAGCCAGCTCCAGCAAGGGGATATGCGGGGGAGGGTGAAGAGGAAGGGGAAAAATTCTGTGGATTGATAAAATGCTCAGGTCTGTGAGTTGAAACCATCTAATCTGTTAAATTTACAAGAATAGATATAAGTAGGTGACATCAGACCACAATCAGGAGTATATCCTACTCTTGAGAACCCTGATTCAGCACTTAAACATACACTTAAGCCTCATTAAAGGGACTTAATCAATGCTTAAACTTATGTGTGCTGTTAAATGCTTTGTTGAGTAAGGATGGACTTAAGCATGTGTTTAAAAGCTTTCCTGAACTGAGGCCGGAGTGAAGTGACTGATGAACTCCCAGTGCTGAGACCAGTCTGAGTCTCCACCATTGTGTACTGTCTTTGCTTGGGGTATTCAACTGTGTTACATCCTATTTTCCTGACTTACAGACAGTAGACAATAGGCAGAGCATTGGAGCTGAGAAGGAGGCTGAACAAGTCCTGCAGAATGTAGTGTATCCACCACTGCTTAGTGACCTTATTGAACACTGGAAGTGATGACCAGACAGACTGCTCGGTGGTATATACCAGGGCAGGATTGGGTTTATAGTGTAATGACAGTTGAGATTGTATAGATGATTCTATAATAAATCCTCATTTTCAAAGGTTAACATTTTGACTCTTTGAAATCACACTGGGACGAAACATGCCAGCAAGCATGCATGCTAGTTACTTTTCAGAACTATTTTACAATCAGAAGTACCTGTGAACTTGACTTCAGTCATTAACTTTTTGATCTCATAATATAATTGCAAACTTATATATGCTACATTAGAGCCAAGTAAAGGTTAAATAGCATAAAGGCCACATATTAAAATAAATAGGAAATGTCACATCTCAGACTCAATAAACTAATGTTAATGGTGAAAGAAAAGCCGCTCAGTTCTAGTAAATTTAGAGTTAAACTCTCACAGACCCCTTAATTCAGCCATTGGTTTTACAATACGTACCATGTAATCTCTCTGAGGATTCCCCAATGCTCTATGAAGTTACCACTGAGAAAATATTTCTCTCCCCGGCATGGCTTAACTAAGTGGACAAATCATTTTGTGCACCACTTCTACTACAATAGGATGGTGTATATGTAAAAAATTGGTTTGGGTATTTAATATTTTATAAAATCCAGGAAACTCTGTGATACTGTAGAGGACTATATTGTGAAATATCAATGTACTGTACATGGGGCTGCAGGACTCTGAGAAAGTTTAACTCCGAATTTTCTTGCTTTGACAAATTTGCCTTGACTGCTGTGTTAGTTCAGCATACAGTTTTGTGTTTAAGTTGATTAGAAAGTTAGGTGAACTTGAGAATTATTAACAATTTTAATGGAGTAGCAAGCAACTTCTCGGCTTTCCATCTTCATCCCTTTTCAGTAAATATTTATTATACACACAAAAAACTGGGTTAGAAGAACATTATTACAGTTACAAAATCAAGCATTCAAAAGTTAGGAAATGGAGAATTAAGTTTGCCTGCACAATCTCAGTTTGTCCCCCTTGTGCATATGCATTATGGTACAGTCTTTCATTAGAAGATCACATACTACTTTTTCCCACTGGATCCCTGCCTCATTCAGTGCACTGAATGGATAGTGCTCACTTAATGAGCAGCATTTCAATGTTTTGTATTTTCCTCATTGTTCAATGTGTGGCCCCAGGCCTTATTTTCTGCACACTATTCAAACCCTGCCCTGCATCACAAGAACTCTGTGGTGGAGGCAGTAGAATCTAGTTCTCCAGAGCAGCATTCAGCTGTCTTAACCCAGAGATCTTCCTCCAATCTCCTGCCTCACTCACTCCGTACTTTCCAACTTCTGCAACAAAAAAATCAGGGGGTTCTATACATAAGTCTCCATCACTACACATCCCTGGTTCATCCCCCAGTTAGTCGATCCTGTGCACTAAATGAGGCAGGGGTCCTGTGGAAAAAATATTGTATCACGTAAGTAAACACTGTATCAGAATGTACATACACAAGGAGGCTGAATTACAGTTGCACAGGCAACTTCAACTCTGGAATATTCTATTTTTTAAGTGTTTGGATTTGAAATCGTAATAATGTTCTTAACTTATTTTTTGTGTGTGTAATTTCCTTGGTTTTTAACAAGTAAGCTGAAAAATCAGAAATTCCATCATATGGCATCATATTTATACCTACATGGGTCATGAGCAAGGTGAAACCCTTAGATCCACCACACAGATCTCTGCCACTTGAGCTAACGGAATAACTGATAGCAGTAGTAGGTTGTCATTTTCTGTGTGGATCGACACTAGAGGGGGATAGGACACACTGCCAGTGGGTTTCTCAAATATTTGCTGACAGCAGAGGAAGGTTGAGACTCAAGAATCTTGGGTTCCATTCAAGGCTCTGAAGGAGAGTATGCTGTAATGGGCACAGACTCATCTGCCTGGGCCCCCCAAGTGTGACCCTCTTTTGCCCCATCCCCTCCAACCTGTCCTTGTCCTGTCTGATACCCTCCCCTAGGTCCTTGTCCCAATCCTATTCCTCTCATCTAGTCAGTCCTAGGCTCCACTCCTCAGGCTACTCATTCCAGCCCCAGATTCCTTGCCCCGCAAATCCTAGTCTTACCCCTCCAGTTTCCTCATCCCAGTCTCCCCTGACTCCCAGTACTATTCTCCTTGCCCAGCAAGTACTAATCTCACCCCTCCACACTACTCGTCCCAGTCACCCTGACTCCCAGTTCCAGTCTCCTTGCCCAGCCATTCTCAATTTCCCCCGTCTGACTTCTGAACTCATCTGTCTCCCCGACCCTGGTATCCAAACATTATTTCACACTCATTCCCCATCCCCACTGACACTGTCCCAATTTTTCCTCCTTGCCCCAGTCTCTTTGCCCAGTCAGTTCCAGTTCTCCCCCCACCCCTTAGTTCCTTCTCAGATCTGCCTCCCCTCTACCCTCTCCCTACTTATCTCTGCCTCCTGCCACACTGGCTCTTGATCCTAGTCTCCCCCCACCCAAACTACAAGCCCCAGTTTCCCTTTCTCCCTCCCCACCCCCCAAACCATTCCCCTTCTCCCCTCCCTGCATATCCAGCTCTTGTCCCCTCTGTCCTCGAAGCAGCAGCTTCCTCCATTATGCTGCCTGGGCCCAGGAGGGGGTCATTGTGAGCACAGGAGAGAGAGTGTCTCTGCCCTCATTTCAGGTGTCCCAACCCAGCTCTGCAGCAGTCCAGACCTACAGTTGGACTGGATCATTCTCATTGCAGAGTAATGGTCAGGGAATTTAGCTACTAACATTTAAAAGGTCACTATTGCATCTGTGTGCACTGTGATTTTTCAAAGGCTTATAACTTGGCAAAATTTGGGTGGATTTTCACAGGGACAGCAAAACCACATCCCTCACACAAAAGTCACATTTCTAGTCCCTGCTCCAAAACATGGGGGCACTAAGACAAGGTCCCCAGAATGTTTTAACATGGGCAAAACAACTCTTTTCCCCTCGCCTCATTCTTGGACCATTTTGGCTGACCTTTTTCACACACACACAAAAAAAAAATCAGCCTGAGATAGGCATCAAGCATAGAAATTTTCAGCCCAAGCAGTTAAAGTTTGGCAAAGTTATAAGCAGCTGAAAACAGGTTTTTATAACTGAAAATGTCAGGCAACCTTGATAGCACCCAGAGGACTTGGTCAGGGTCAGAGTCGCTTTGTGCTCGGTGATATACAGATATATAAAATATGTTCCCCAAAGTTCTTACAATCTAATTCAACATATACAAATTGGTGTAACAAACTATCAGAAGGGTTTGAGAAGGGATGATGAGAGTAATAGTGAATAGAACATGGGTTACATAGCCTAGCTACATGCATGATTCAATGTCTTCAGAACATTCAGTGATGTGTTGAGGTTTCTAATATTATAAACTATATGCAAATAAAAGACTTTCTGGGCATCTATATTTTTTCTATCCCAATATCAATTTAGGTCCATCAAAGGGAAAACTACTAGTACAATACTATTTGTACAGTCATTAAGGTGAAATGAAAATATGAAAACAAGACACATTCAAGAATATTTTCTTAAGTCTTTCTGAATGCACAAAATAGAGAGATGGGTGTGCAGAGTTGTTTAATTACATTGTGCGTTTTTTCTGTAAAAATGCTAATTTTACTATGAATGATTTGATAAGAAAAACAGTTCATCCACTGTAGCTGTTGTAAAGTTTACTTTGTACCAGTTACAGTAGTACGATAACCTGTTTTGTTTTTCAAAGTTGGTCAATTAGCTGGATCTCCTGCTTCTCAAAATACAGTTCAGTAAATAAGAGGGGAAAAAATGGCCTGATATTTAATCTAATTACATTACTGGTCAAAAAACTGCAGAGATGCAATTAGTGGATCATTGAAGTTCATTGACCTGAGAATCTGCAAGATCATCTTGTTTAACTGTTTCGTCTTCATAAAGAGCATTGAGGTGTTGTGAGGAAGAGTAATTATCTTCCAGGAGTTTAGCAAATAAGAGAGAGAACCCTTCATAGTTTTATAAGTAGTTTGCTTTGATATATATGCTGTGCAACTTTCAAATTGAAACTGATTGCACAGGGTCTAGAAATTATTGTCCAATATTTCCTAGTTTTCAAGCTAACCTAATGCACATTTAAGAGGAATTAATTCTTTTCCTTCTACTACATTTTCCTAAATGTTCTAAATATCTTTAAAATAGCTTAAAAACTATGAAGTTCTGCATGTGTTCAAAGCAGTAGATCTTAAAGGCATTCATTAGACTTGGATATAGAAATATATCATATTTCATAAAATATATAGGAACCCAAACCTATTTGTCATTTATACAATTCTAAAAGTGGGTTTGCAGTACCATTATGAACAACTCAGGAAGTGTATACTTTGAAGTACAGCTATGATTGATTAGACTACAGAAATTCCAGTGCTTCGTTGTGTACTACTTTAATCTTTTGAACAGTGAATGAACAGCAGATGGCCTAATAAAGACACTCTGTATATTTGCTCAATATGGATTTGCTCTGAAGGGATTGGTTCAACACTTTAGAGTACATATATTTGGAATACATCTGTCTTAGTCAAGACAGATGGTTAAAGGAAAGTGAAACGTCCAAATTCTTGGAATTAGTCCAATTTGGGTGCTGCTTTTGATTGGAAATTTTAATAGGATATGACTATCATTCTGTAAGCTTTTTCGGAAGAATACAGCTGCTAATAGTATAGGCATATAAAAGGTTGATGGCGACTGAACTGGGATTTGTTTTACCTACATTTCAAATAAAAATGTCGCCAGTGTCTTGCTCTAACTGATCTGAGGATAAATAGGTGAATTTGTTTTCCCGGGCTATCAATTTGATATCTTTCATGATTGAATTTTTTAGTGAATTTTGCAAACTTGAAAGAAAAAATATTTTAAAAATTGTATTTAAACTTGCAAGTGTCAGGTTTTTAAAGGAGATTTTATAATTTTTTCAATCCTATATATTAGATCACAAGCTTTTTTAAATGGTCAATTAAGTTTCCATTAGTGACAGCTTCCTGGCTTGTGTATCAAATATTATGTGTGAATTGTATGCCTCTAAAATGTATGCAGAAATATATAAATCAAATTTAAAAGGTGCTGCATGCTGATACTGGGAGACAATTATTTTTACAACCTGGGTTACTTGGGAGTTTACTGTATGTTTTCAGTTTGCATATTAAAAATGTAGTAGTTTAGCCTTGATGAAAGGTTGTCCCATTTTAGTTAAATACTCTTCAAATGTAATATTTTAGCATTCATTATCTCTGCAAAGTTTTGGTATGTGAATTAAATCCATTTTTGTTTTTGTTAAGTGTTGCACTCTTGTTTTCTGTTTTGCAGTAATAACAAGTAGTGGCTACAGTCCAAGATCAGCACATCAGTACTCGCCGCAGATATATCCCTCCAAGTTAGTGACCACATCTTTTCTAGCCTATCATAGCGAATGACCAAGACTTCAGGCAATTCTGTTGTTCAAAGTTTTCAACAAGTGTTACTACTTTTATTTATTGTGTATTAACAAATGGATACATAGTTAAGCATTTAAGACTTGATACTGATCCCCATTAGCATCATTTCTCTATTTTTTTTCTCTCTCACAGTTGGTGAAGATCTTGGTCTGTCTCTTAGATGTGCAGTTATGTATTGTTGCACAACGTATATAATTGATTTTGTGTACACATGTAAGGGCAAGATTGAACCCCAGTGGTCAAGTTTTCAAACGTGGGCACCTAAGTTGTGCTGACAGAATATGCTCAAACCCATGGAAATAGAACAGGAGTACTTGTGGCACCTTAGAGACTAACAGATTTATTAGAGCATAAGCTTTCGTGGACTACAGCCCACTTCTTAGGCACTTGATTGGGAAGAAACACAGTTCCCTGTGCAAAATGAGTACTTGAATGCATAAGTACTAGTGCATTAAACAAGGAGAACTCTCTATACATACACATTCCATAGTCAGTATTGCCAAGCATTCAAAAAATCATGAATCGGGCACTGCAAAAGTATGTTGGATTCTTTTTATTTACCTCCTGGTTCTTAAAACAGTAGGAGTCACATTTCAAGCTTTTCTCTGCAACTGTAAGGACTAGATACTTACTCCCTTCCCCCACTTAAAATTGAGAGTCTCATGTAGTCAATTGACTTCAAAGAGCTGGGACTTTAACAAAACACCAAATATTGTGAGATTTGAGATAAAATCACTAGAGTTGGTAGCGTGCTCATTTGCATGTGGCACTACCAGTTTTCTGCACACATGTTCCTGATTGCAGTGTGAAGTTTGTTTGCTTCTGCATACTTGACAGGGCCAGGTAGGAGGCTATGTTTTAAAATTTGGCATTATGCTTCTAAAATTAAAATGTTGACACATTAGTGGGTTATGCTTTCTTAAGCTACTTTGTTTTGGTAAATTTGTATTCACATCATGATATAACAAATATGTAATAAGATGACAAGTAAATGTCTAAACTATGCATATTAGAGAGAGACTTTAATATCCTGGGACCAACACAGCTACACAACACTGCATATTAGCGAGACAAGGTGAATGAGCTAATATCTTTTATTGGACAAACTTGTGTTGGTGAAAGAGACGCTTTCAAGCTACACAGAGCTCTTCTTCAGGCAACTACAACAGCACTGCAAACAACAATGAACTAAGCGTAGTCTTTCTAATTTCACTTACAAGGGGATTTGGCTAACAGTGCATCAGATATTCTTGTCCAAATATATTACAAGGTCTTATTGAATTTTTAATTTACTGTAATAATTTTTGGCATCTAAATTAAAGTGTAATCTTTTTCGGATAGCAACTGCTGCCAACTATGCTGAAGTAGTTAGGAAAAAAAAGCAAAAGAAATTAGTATTTGATATTTAGTCATGGCTTTTAATGGCTAGGTTTCAGTTACAATAATTCTTCAGTGTGTGTTTGATCACTCTTGGTCCATAAAATCTTATTTGACTTTCCAAGACAAATATTTCTGAATACATTTTTGCAACTCTGGAGGGTAAAATTTTGAAACGTGATTTTATTCACTCTTCCTATAAAACTTCAGTATTCATAAACAAAAGATCACTTTTATTTCCATTCTTTTTTCTGTAACCCAAATTTTCCAAATGTTGAAAGCCCATCTTGTTGTTAAAGTATTACTGTAGGCATTTTTAATGCCACGCTATGGGCTCGATCCATGTCCCATTGAAATCAGAGGGCCAGATCCTCAGCTACAGCTGAACTGTGCACTGTACAAGTTTGTGTATCTTGGTGCTCACGTTTGTACTTCCCTGATCCTGCTGCCACAGTGTCTAGGACTGTTCTCCTTCACTGGGTTAGAGCAGCCTGAGGACATCTCTGATTGACTTATGCCAGATGCTCATTGCTCCAAGGGGGGCGGGGCGCAAAACCCTGTAGAGCTATGTTAACAGTGGGATGAGCCACCTGGAGTTGGATACAGCAGTTTTAAAGTTATATCGTGCTGGTGGTATGGTACAAAACATCCACGCTGCACTGGAGAATGTGACCCAGAGAGTCTCTCCATTTATTTCAGTAAGGTTAGATTGGATTCCAGAAGAGTAATTGTTGACAAAGAAAACTGTTTATCAACTTCTTGAAACCTTTTTCTTTTATTGCTTGAATCAACATGCAAAGTATTTGTTGCCACAGTAATGCTATTTTTCCTAATATTTAGGCCCTATCCACACATTCTTTCTACACCAGCAGCTCAAACAATGTCTGCCTATTCCGGACAGACCCAGTATTCAGGAATGCAACAGCCTGCAGTCTATACAGCCTACTCACAGACTGGACAGCCTTACAGCTTACCTACTTACGGTATTTTACCTCTCATTGTTGTTCCTTCTTAACTACAAGTAAAATTGTCAACTTGAACATTCTTTACTTTTCTCCCCATCTGCAAGAAAATATTTTAAAGAATCGGTTGCAAATTAATTTCTCACACAGATTTGGGTGTAATGTTGCCAGGCATCAAGACGGAAAGCGGGCTTTCGCAAACACAGTCACCACTGCAGAGTGGGTGCCTTAGTTACAGTCCAGGGTTTTCCACACCACAGCCCGGCCAAACACCATATTCTTATCAAATGCCAGGTCAGTAACCACCATCATCATTTTCTGTCTTTCATTTCAGAGGCACTACTCATGAGTGGTGTGTCGCTCAATGTGAGTAGGAATATCTGAAGTAGGCCTTTAGGTTCAGATGTTCAAAGGTATTTAGGTGCCTATGTCGCATTAAAATAAGTGAAATGTATATGCAGGCTGATATGTGACTTCATGCAAGGTATTATCTTTTAATGTAGCGTTATGATGTGCATTTCTTCATAAGAAACAGTTATCAAAAGACCCAGGGCCAGTATTTAAGGGCTTAAAGATGCAGATAGGCACCTAGTGGGATTTTCAAAAGAGCCCAAGCAGGTTAGTCACTTAATTCCCATTGAAATCAATAGGAACTAGGGGCTAGATTTACAAAAGGACTTGGGCACCTGACTGCCACTTGAGGTGCCTAAATCCCAGAATCCGGTCCCACTAGGCTTCACAAAATCCCCGCTCAGCTGCCATTATGCTCTGTAGGTGCCTAAACTCACTTTTTGTTGCAGTAAGAGTTCCCTTGGCATCTAGGTTTCTGCCTTTCAGCATGTGCACTGCAGCCCCATTCCAAGCTGCAGCTGCCTAAGCCCCAGAGTGATGCAAAAACCGGGGAAGGTAGATGTTCCTCCTCCTAACTAGCTTGCCTGCCTATAGGCCAGCTTACACAAAAGAATGGGGAAAGGAGGCCTGCTTCCTTCAGTTCTTAACCCAGTGATAGGGTATTCATCTAGGATGTGAAAAATCCTTGGTTCAATCCCCCCTTTTACCTGAGAGGGCGATGGGATTTGAACTGTTTTATGCTGAGACTGGATGGTTGCAAGTGAAGGTGAACTAAGCAATAAATATACATAACAAGAGAAAGAACAAGAGGAAAGAAACAAGGGAGTGGTTGAAACACTGTAGTAAGTGTGAAAAGGTTTTCTTGAACAAAACCACATTTTCCAAGTTTTCTTGAACATATGAAAAGGGAAAAATAAATCTGGAAGCAGTTTTTCATTTCTGTTGAGCATTCATTAGAATTTTTTATATTTTAAAGTCAGAATCTCAGTTATTTGTGCTTCTGATTTGTCTGTGTTGTAATATGAAAAATGTTTTCAATACACAAATAGGTTCTTTATAACAAATTATTTCCTTTAACTTTAGGTTCTAGTTTTACTCCCTCATCTACTATTTATGCAAATAATTCAGTCTCGAATTCTACAAACTTCAGTAGTTCACAACAGGTATGAATATTGATACTTTTATATGTGCAACAGAATAAGAAAATATTTTAAGTGATCAGGCAATTGCATAATTTGACCAATTTAGGTTAAAACAGGACTATTGTGATTCAGTGTTTGATAGGACAGCAGTGTACTTTAATATCTAACCAAATATTGCAATCTTCATGAGAAAATTTGATCAACCTTTTCATTTAAAATACACGATAAAGAAATGGGTTCACTTAATAAATTGCCTTTACTTTTTTCCAGGATTATCCATCCTACACAGCTTTTGGCCAAAATCAATATGCACAGTATTATTCAGCATCAACATATGGAGCATATATGACCTCAAACAACACAGCTGATGGCACGTCTTCATCATCATCAACCTATCAGCTACAGGAATCTCTCCCTGGCCTAAATAGTCAACCAGGTACAGACCTTCATCCAGGTGAAAAACTTTTGTGTATTTCATCCCATCAGTTTAGATGCATAAAAGCAGAATTGGGTAATTTTTCAACATAGGTAATTTTTGAACCAAATTGGGATAAGCATAAACTTTTATACTCATCTTAGTGTCTCCAGAAGAAAAACAATTATTATGGAAACAATCATGAGATGTTAAAAAAAATGTATATTCAGGTTATATATTAAACCACAACCAAGTAATTTTGGCAAACTGATATATGTATCATTGTGGGAATGAGAAAAGAGACAACAATCAAGTATGCACCTTTGAGTGTCCAAAACTACTGTGTTATAGCAGGACCTCTCTAATTCACACTCAAAAAGGCAATCCCTCTTCAGCTCTCAGCAAAGATTTAATAACCGAATGGGGCTGAGATCTTGTATTACTGACACCTAATAATAATAGTATCTAGTTCTTCATCCATAGATGTCAAAGTGTTTTACAAAGGATCCCTATTTTACAGATGGGGAAACTCAGGGCATGTCTACACTATAGACTTAAGTTGTCCTAGGTTAGGTCAACTTACAGCCACCACAGTAATTACTGGGGTGATTCATGTCCACACTGCCCTTCTTCTGTCTGTGATGCGTGTGCTCACCAGGAACGCTTCCACCAACTTCAGAGGGGCATTCCAGGGGGCTGGCAAAGCCAGGGCTCTCAGCTCCACACAGCTCCTTGCTAGTAGCCTGACATTCCACCAGGCTGCCCCTCCCCTCTTGGCTCCCTGTTCCCCACCGGGAATGGGGCAGCTGACCAGACACTGGGTACAGTCTCCCCACCAGGAGACCTGCTCTCCTCCATCAGGAGTGCCGCAGCCAACTGGAGTCTGGGCCTGGAGCGCCACGCTGAGCGCAGCTGTGCTCCCAGTGGGGAGCCGAGACCCCAGGAGGCAGCCCGGTTCCTGGTGGGGAGATCCACACCCAGAGTCCAGTCGGCTGCCATGCTTCCAGTGGGGAGGCGAGAGCCCGGGGACCCTGGGTGGCAGCTGGGCTGGAATGGGAAACCAGGACCCTGGGGAGCAGCAGGGCTTACTGCGGGGAGCCGGGAGCCCGCTTTCTTGTCGATTTCACAGCTCAGTGAAATTGACGAGAATGATAG